CGCTCTCCCGCCCCGCCGCGCGCGGCATTGTGGAACAGCGGCTCCCACGCCGAGGATGCCGGGATGTGCAGTCCACCCACCCCTCCTACTGCGCAGCCGCAAGCGTGAATGACATCTCCTGACCCGTGGCCTACACCAATCCCGTGCGCACGAGGAGGGCTCCAGCCAATCAGCACCTTCTCCTGCTCTTTCCGGAGGACGCCCGGCCTGGTGTCCAGTCAGGCGTGGGGGTGAGGAGGTTGTCACGTGCCCGCCCTGGCTCTGCCCCGCTGAGAGGATGCGTCACGCGTGATTTGTATCACGGAGTTGAGTAGCGAATGGTTCCGTAGGTGCGGCCCTGGCTGTGTGCGCAAAGGGACTCTCGCAGCATTCGCTAGTGAATTGAGTAATATATGTGAGCCCGGCTAGGCGTGCAAAGCAATTATTGTGTCACTGAATTGTGCAACAAATATAACCCCGGTTGCTGGTGCAAAGTGTTTCTCCCACTGCTCACTGGTGACTTGTGCAATAAATGTAGCCCTGGCCATTTGTGCAAAGTATTTCTCGCATCACTCACCAGTGAAGTGTGCAATAAATGTAGCTTCAGCCACACCTGCAAAGCATTTCTCACATCACTTACTGGTAAAGTGTGCAATAAATGTGGAGCTGGCCACATGTGCAAAGTATTTCACACACCACTCACTGGTGAATTGTGCAATAAATGTGGATCCAGCCGCATGTGCAAAGTGTTTCACGCACCACTCACTGGTGAATTGTGCAATAAATGTAGACCTGGCTGTTGGTGCAAAGTATTTCTCATGCCACTTACTGGTGAATATTGCAATAAATGTAGCTCTGGCTGGACGTGCAAAGTCATTCTCACACCACTCACTCGCTAGTGAATGTTGCAGCCCTGGGGATTGTTTCTAACCCCTTTTCTGTGGAGTTACATGTGTTTTTGCTTTTTCTTAACCTGAGTACTGCAGCCCCAGGGTACGAGTAAAACTTCTAGTTTCTTCTTACCTGTAGAAAAATGTGTATTGTGTCCTCTGTGACAATGCCCCTTGCCATGGGCACCCCCTCTTTCAAAATCCTAGATCCACCCATGCCCTGATGGAAGCTCATACCAGCTGCCTATCTGGAGCAGTCACAGGGGGCAGGGACTGCAGCTAGGGTGGCCACCTTTTTAAAATCGAAAGATGGGACACACGGCCACCTCCTCCTCCTCCCCACCCCTGCCGCCGGGGGCACGGCCAGGGCAGAGCTGAGTGGGGCGGGGGCAGATGCAGGCTCTCTGCCCTGCTGCTTATCCCCTGGGAGCCCTGCTGCACGGCCCCTGCCCACCCAGCAGCAGTGGGGGGCACAACACCATGCTGCTGCCTCCCTGGCTGCTGCCAGGCGGGCAGGGGGCACCTCGTCATGAGGCTCCCGAGGGAAGGGCAGCAGGGCATGCAGCCCTGAACCTGCAGCAGGCAGCCTGCATATGCCCTGCTCACAAATCTGGGGGTCACATGCCCCCCATACCCCTCTCCCGGGGGGGGTGCATGCAGTGGTGGGGAGCCACCTTCCCCTGTGCCCCTTGGAGAGTCTCCTGTGGCTCTGTCCTGGTCCCCACCCCAGGGCCCCATGCACCACCCTGGCTGAACAGCACCCCTAGCCCCAGGCCCTGCCCCACTTCCTCCCTCACTGTGGGGGCCTCAATATGTTCCCCTGCCCCCCACGTTTTCTCTTCTCCCACCCCAGACTCACTTGCAGGGAGCTGCTTTCTATGCTGCCTACCTCTTTCCCAGCCATGTGCATGTGTGCGGGCATGCATGGCAACATGGTGCCCCCTGAGTCCTGCTCCCGGCAGCACCAGGCAGCCGCTTGCCTGGGAAACCCAGATCCCAGCACAACGCTGCGAATCATTGTCCCCAAGTCATGCAGCCCGGGGCCAGGACTTGATGATCCCATCCTGGGACTGTACTGCCCAATTAGTGATGGGTGGTCACCCTAGTTGCAGTGTGGCACAGTCACACCCACCTTAGCTCTTCCTTTGGACACCAAGAGCAGTGAAGCAGGGGTGGAGCAGACGGCCAGGACTAGCCTGTACTTACTGCGGGCCCCTGGCAGGTTGGCACAGCCCAAACCAAGCTTTACACCCTGTTTTCACTGCTCCTTTTGCTGGGCCTCTGCCTTACAGCTGAGACTGCGGTTCTCCATAGGGCCTGCCCCAGGACTGCAGACTAGAGGCACCCACTTTGTTTAAACGCTTGCTTAGGGGCTTTTGCTAGTCGGCCAGCACCTCCCTTGGGCTCCAACCTTAGGATGCCCCCATTTACCACCCGCTTTGCAATGCCCCGACAAAAGCCCTGGGCTTCCAGAGAGACGGGGCTGCAGTTGGTTCCTTATTCCCAGTTCATTTCTGGTTCTCAGTTCCTTATTTCAGGGGAGAGTCTCCCAGTGACGCAGCCGTGTGGTGTGGTGTGGTGTGGGCTGACCTGAAAAGGATTTTCACCCCTTCTCCCAGCCCCACAGCAGCTCTTTCTGCAAGGCAACGTGCACGGCACACAGGGCCTGGCACAACAACCAAGCTTCAGGGGGGGCAGCGTCCTGCCCCACTTCCGGAGAGTCCCCCTGTGGCGGCGCGGTTGCAGCTGACCCGAAAGGGATGTTGCCCCACGATCCCGCCTAACCTCAGCGCCTCCTTCAAGCCTAAATGCCTGATGCGGGCGATTTACCTGACGCCGCTGATGACATTCTCCCGGCTCAGCAGGTCTCACCCACTGCAACACCCCGGGACTGCGGCCGGAGCAGCTTTAAAAAAGGACTGGGAGGAAAGGCGCCCTCGCAGAGCGCGGGAGCATCCCTGCCCGGGGCGGGG